TCATCATTAATGTTCCTCTCTCTCTCTCCCTCTTCTTTCCTCTCTGAAATCAGTAAAGATGTACTTTAAAAATAAATGAGTGAAATGAAATACACATGGCAGCTTTCCTGGAACGCCATGAGCCTGCTGTGAGGGAGCCATTTGTGAAATGTCCACGTGAGGATGGACTGGGCGGGAGATGACACGAGGAATCGCGTGTTTAAATGTGTTTTTACAACGTTTCCACTAAGTGTGACAGGATGCTAGGGTTATGCCAGGAAATGCCCATGTTTTTTTTAATGGATGCACACGGAGAATGGAGGGGTGAGTGGGCCTGATTTGGGGATTGGTTTTAAAACAATTCAGAAAAGAGGAAAAAGACAAAAAGGACGGGTGGATGACTGAAGACGGGTATGCAGAGGTCGATTAGACTGTTCCCTCTTCTGGGCATGTCTAAAAGTCTTCATAGTGACATATCTTGCATATACAGGGGAAAGTGGGGGGAGGGGCACCGTAAAAGCAGATGTCAGTCCCTAATCCGACCTCTGCCTCTACAAATGCCCTTCTCTGCTGGGAGAGCTACTCGCCGGCACCTGAATAGGGTCAGCAGTCAGCACCCCGCACGCACCCCAGGGTCGGGAGGGAGCCTCAGCACCAGCGGATCTGGAGCTTCCCCCGCTCCGGCGCTGGGCCGGCTCCCGGGCGGCCCCCGCTCCCAGCGGCTACGTGTGCAGCAGGCACGGTCTGCGCAGCTGGGCCCAGCAGCCGGGGAAAGTCCCGAGCACTTCGCTCCAACGTGGGAGGAGCGTGGGCGGGGGAGCCGCGGGGACGAGGGAGACGGAGGAGCCAGGGCCCCGTGACTGCTGCCCGAGCCCAAGAAGCATCCCTGCTCTCGCCAGATCCTGTGAGGGCCGTGGTCCCGGCCCCGTGAGATCCCCCAAGGGCGGCCCTGCAGCCCCAACTCTTCCTCCGGATCCAGAGTTAATCAGCCTGGCTGCAATGCGCGGCGATTTATAAAGTTCCCAACGCCGTGCTTCTTCAGTAACAAGGTCTCGGTGACACAGCTCTCCACAGGCTGTCACCGAGAGGAAGGCCCCGGCACCGAGTTCCCACCCCTGCACATCCACCTCCCCATCTCCCCCTCCAGCTCCAGAGGCCCAGGGAGAAGCTGCACATCAGACACTCCCCCCCGCACCCCTCCCACTGTATTTCACAGCGGAAGTGAGGCTCCTGTCTTTGGGGAGCTTGGGGAGAGGTTAAGCACCAGGACAGACAGTGCCAGCGCCAGCCCCGCCTCCCTGTCACATACCCTAAGCCCGATGCCATCTTCCTCAGGTGGGCGTGAGATTCATGCCAGCGTTAACCCGGGGCGGCCGAGGGAGACATGCAAAGGGCGGCACAGTACTCAGTGATTATGTGTCACCTCTGTCACCGCTCTCTGGGCAAGCTCCCTGGGCCCACCTTCTCCGTGGTTCCCTCATGCCAGCCCAGGACAGGCCTCGATGTAGATTCGCCGAACAGTCCGTCCATCCAGCTGCCACTGACGGAGCACCTGCCAGGCCGGCCAGGAGCTGTGTTATGGCAGAGGATGGGGCAGGGAAGCGAGCAGCAGAGTCCTGACCCCTGTACCAGGTTCTCTGGGGGAGACGGACGGCGTCCATGTAGGAGGAAAAAGGGCAGGAAGAAGGGGTGAGGAGAGAAAGGAGGGGGTGAGGAGAGGCCATTTATGACAAAGGTCTCTCTGAGAAGGGGACATTGGGGCAGAGACGTAAAGGACGTGAGGGAGCAGAGCCCGCAGCGTGTCAAAGGGCTGAGCGGGCCGCGCTTGGTGCTGGAGGAGCAGGAGGCACTGTGGCTGGGGGGGGGGGGGGGGGGGCGCGCAGGGAGAGGGGATGGGAATGAATGAGAAGGCTTTTAACTCTTTTTCTCTTTGATTAAAAATGAGCACGCAACACAATTCAGTCACTGAAAAGGGTGTATTAAATATTCACAAAAGTACAACAATTGAGAAAGAAAACAAAAACCAAGAACTGGGTGGTTTTCCCGGCTGGATGCATTTCCGTGGAAAAGCTAGAGGGTTTGGGATTGAGTCTCTAGGTGCCCCTTTTGGGGCTGCCTTACAAAAGCCACGTCACTCAGGAGGGCCGTGCCGGGAAGAGGACGGGGCAGAGCCCTTCCATTTAGAAAACCCTGCGGCTGGCCTGGGACAGGAAGGCGGGGACACAGGAGCAGGGGCCCCAGACCCACAGGAGGTGGAGTGAGGGGAGGAGGAGGCACTGCCGGGTGTGAGCCAGAGTGGTGGCTGTGATGCCCGGCGGGGAGGCCCGCTGCCAAGTGCTGAGCCATCTGAGGGGCTGGCTGGGTGGGCGGTGGCGTGTGGGGCAGGAAGTCGCATGGGGAGCCTAGAGGCCACCCGTGCGGTTGGAGGGAGCGCAGGCAGGTGCCCTGGGTGGCTGCTCTCGGTCCAAAACGAGAGGAGAAACTGGGGCTGTTGCTCCCGAGCCATCAGGAGTGTCTGGTTTATTCCCAGGGCCTGGTGAGGAGGAGAAACAGGATCACACCCCTTCTCTCTGTAGGAGTGGCTGTCAGGAACACCCCAATCCAACCGCACACCTGCCTCTGGGCGTATCCTTTCCGGCTTCAAATAAAGGCTCACGAGGATCGTTACCTGGGAATCTGCCTGGAGAGGGGACAGCCCAGCACCCACCCGCCCTCCCACACCACGAGGGCTTGTTTTCAAACGGAGGCAGGAAGCTTTAGGGGCAAGGTGGACCCGGTGGACAGGTCCCGGGCGGACTCTGGGTCCTGGGCTCACGGTGGGCCCAGGAGCAGGAGGAGAGAGGCCTCAGGGCGTGTACTCCCCTGCCCCCCCACCCCCACCCCTCAGCACAGACCACAGCCGCCAGCCTCCGGACACGGACACAGAGGGTGTGGCGTGATACAAAGCCCTCCCCGTGTGCGATATGTACATGAATGTTGGCTGGACACTGGGGAGAACCAGCAGCTCCTCAGAAAACCAGGCCACACATCTGCGAGCGTGCCTGGAGGCTCACGTGTCCGCTCCCATTTGATCACCTCTACACCTTTCCCCCAAACCCTGCTGGACTCGCTTCAGTCCTCCTGGCACCTGGCCAAACTGCCTCCTGACAGCGACAGAAGCCGGAAGGAAGAGGAAGCAGCTGGTGGCGGACCCCACACCACGGGGGGGAATGGACGGTGCCCGCCACTCCACGTCCCCAAACACGTCCTGTGACCTCCCCCACTGTGGGCTCTCAGATCACTTCAGATTTAAAACACTTATTTTAACACAAAAGAATCCAGGAATTGGAGGAATGGTAAATATAAATAAATGTTTAATGATCTCAGTTTGCTTTTTATCCCCAGTAATCACAGAAATCATAGGTTTGAGATGGGGAGGCGTTGTCAAAGGGACAAAATAAATGACCTGAACTATCTGGATTTTTTCTCATTTGGTTGTTCATCAATTCCATCGATGGGGGAAACGTGGCAAATAAACAAAAGCATCCAGAACAGAGAAGAGATTCAAAGGAGAAGTAGGAGCCCTCCTTGCAGATCAGAGCCGATTCCCTGGGGATCCCAGCTGGCTGTCCAGTTACAGCCAACGCTCGCCTCTCCTCTCCTCGCTCGCCTCGCCTCGCCTCGCCTCGCCTCTCGGGGGCTCCTGTCCCCAACAATTCACATCTCAACTGGCAACCCCGTCTTGCTGAAACCTGTGTGATCCGCCACGTGCCTCTCAGGCGGCGGACAAAGGAGAGGATGGGAGAGTCTGAGTTCGTTTACCCCTAAACCTCACGTCGTTAACATCCCGGTCCTGATATAGATCCATCCTGTGAGTATTTTCATAGGTTGTTGTTTTTGCATGTATGTGTGTGTATTTCTTTTTTTTTTTTTTGCTGCTTATTGTTATGTTTTCTTCTTTTTTTATGTTTTAATTTTTTCGGTATGTTTCATCTCCTTTTTGTTAAATTTTCATTTACATTCATGCCCTTTTTGTTCAAAAGTGTTTATTTATAAATTAAACAGTGCACTAGACATGTACTGTATATAAGAATCTTAAAACAGGGATCATTTGGGGGTCTGGAGTGGACCAATTCAGTTTACGTGATTTCTATGGGAAAAGATGATTCTGTTTTCGGACAGTTTTCTGGGACGAGTTAAGTTCGAGAGCGGAGGTTCCATGTACCCCATTCCTGCCCACCTGCAAGGAAGTGAACTCCGGCTGGATTCCAGCAGCACAGGAGGTAACTGACACCTGAGCTCCCTGCCCCAGGCCGCCAGCTCCGCCCCAGGCCGCCAGCTCCTATTTCAGTTCCATGCACAGGGCTCTGGCCTGAGGGACCGAGGAAGACTGGCCCAGCAGCTACCCCTGCTGATCCTGCTGTGATGAACAAGATGACAGGAAAGGGTGTAACCTTAATGTCCGTGTGACAACTGAGGAAGCAAAAATGCCCTTTGCTTCAGAGCAGGGGTGGGGAACCTTCAACCCAAGGGCCGTGTAAGCTTGCAATAGGCATCGGGGTGAGTGAATTAAATGTTTGACCAAATACAGCAGACTGATTTTTAAGTTTATAATTCTGTCTGGCTCAAGAATGATACTATAAACATCCAAGTGGCCCTTGGCAGGAAAAAGGTTCCCCACCCCTGCTTTAGAGAGAAAAAAACATCGACAAACAATTCTCAAATTGTTTTCAAGTGGCATAGCTAACGGGTGTTTCCTAAAAACTACAACCAAACAGCCGGAACAGACAGTGGGGACAGGCCACCCTGGCTATGTCTCCCGCACAGTATCTTCACCTCCAACTACAATAAATGCTAAGACTGGTTAAGCCCTTAGACAAAAAGGCCAAGTCTGCTGGGATACTAAGAGATCGCTACATCACCATTAAGGCACACCATATCCAAATGATGGTGACAGGAATGTTGCTGAATTTCCCCAACTGTAAATGACCACGGATGCAAAAAAGTAAAACACAAAACAACAAACAGCGAGACAATGTACATATATGTGGAATCATATCATCTTTTCTTCATGCACCACTGCTCCTCCCGTCCGAGATTAAATAGAAGATTTATACATATCCTTTACAGCGCCTCCTCTCCGGCCTGTCCGTGTCCGGGCCACGTGCCGTGGGCCACACTGCTGCACAGGAGTCCGTTTGAGTTTGTTTCTCACTTAGGATATGATCTGGGTCTTCTCTTAATTTTTCCGGATGTCCGCGTACACCACAGACTCTGACTTGTTGATCTTGTCGCTGTGATGTCCGCCGGAGTGGTCTAGCTGCGCGTATATGACTGGGCCCTGGCGGAGAGAGGTTGCGTTAGGTCTGGAACTCCCGGTGGAGGCAGAAGCGGTGACTGAGGTGACAGCGGCAATCCCAGGGCAGAGCTCCCTCCTTAGAATGTCTCAGGAAGGCTTCCCGGGAACCCACATCCCAGAGCGACTTTAACACAGACTGGTGGCCACTGTGAAAGCTGGTACACGAGAGCAGGTACACTACTCTGTCTACTTTTGTGTCCATTTGGGAACGTCTATAATTATGCAACACTCCTTCTCAAGAATTATCCCTCTTAAAAGACCTGTCACACAATTCCTCAACCCTCGTATTGGGATCACAGTCTTCGGGACTAAGATGGGCACTTCCTCGAACCCGAGACCCCTTGGAGTCAGGATGCAGCTAAGAAACTAACCCACAGACACCATCTGAACTGGTCACTTCATGCAAATAGGCACTTACAATTTTCAAATTTTCTTTTTTTGTGTGTGAGCATTTTTAGGGTTTTTAAATTGAATCTATTGGGGTGACACTGGTTAATATAATAATATAGGTTCCAGGGGTACAATCCTATAACACATCATCTGTATACTGTGTGTTTATCACCCCAAGTTTCCTTCTATCACCATTTAGACCCCCTTTACCCTCTCCTACCTCCTCCCAACCTCCCCTTCCTCTGGGAATCACCCCACTGTTGTCTGTCTATGAGTTTTTTTGTGGTTTTTCACCCTCTCCCGCCCCCCTGACAGCTGTCAGTGAATCTCTGTATCTATGAGTTTATTTCTAATTTGTTCATTTATTTTGTTCATGAGATTCTACATATAAGTGAAATTATATGGCTTTTGACTCATTTCACTTAACATAATACTCTTCAGATCCATCCATGGTGTCTCAAGGGGTAAGATTTCCTTTATTTTTATGGCTGACTAGTATTCCATTTCAATATTCTTCCACATAGCATCTTAAAGTATGATTCTTTTAGTCTCATTCTATCATATTAATAAAAATATTGCTTCTTTGATATCTATAGACAAGAAACCCTAGATGTCTGAGGTAGGAGATGAGAGCTGTCGGGTCCCAGCAGGAGAGCTAGGGAGGGGGGCTGCCTGAGGCAGGGGGGTGTCTTCTGACTCGTGGGGGTGAGGCCAGGGGTTCAAACATCTGACAAGTGGCTGCACATCCTGACCTCAGAGTCCCAGAGATTCTAAAATTATAAACAGCAACAAGAAAAGCAGAAGAGGCCTGTTTCAGAAGACGCGTTCAATAGAGCCCAAAGCCAACTGCCTGCGAGCCAGGGACAGTCTCCTGGAGAAGTCTGACATTGTACTTAAGCTTTCAACTTTTAACTAATACGCTCAGCAGCTAAAAGCGTGTAGTTTAAAATAAACATCCTTGCCCTGGCCAGGAAGAGCATCGTCCTGATGACATTAAGGTTTTGGGTTCAATCCCTGGTCAGGGCACACACAAGAAGCAACCAATGACTGCATCAATAAGTGCAACAACAGACAGATCTCTCCCTCTCTCTCTCTCTCTGTCTCTCTGTCTCTGTCTCTCTCTCTGGTAAGTGATGCTCTCATATCTGTCGTAGGTAATATCACATCACATTGTTAATACTGAGTCAGAGACTCTCTACATCCATGGCAGGAAGCTGCAAGTTACATGTAAGCCCAAAGGGAAAAGAAGTTGAAAAACACACAACCTATTTTCTACCACAGCTGACCCTTGAACGTGTCGGGTTTGTACTGCATGGGTCCACTTATATAAACATTTTTCTTAATAATATCCTAGAAAGTGTTTTTGGAGATTTGTGTCCCTTTGGAAAACCACACAGAGGAATGGAGTAGCCTAGAAATATTGAAACATTTTAAGGAAAAGGTATGGCACGAAGGCATGGAGCATGTGTGGATGCTGGCCTTTTGCATTTACCGCCATAAGGCACGCCCAGTCACAGACAGCAGATTGGGAGCAGTTAAGTTTGGAGGAGTCAAAGTTGTATGCAGGTTTCCCACTGTGCAGTGTCGGAGCCCTGACCCAGCGTTGTTCCAGGGGCAACAGAACAAGGACCAGAAGGAAAACAAAGCGTTCTCTTGCGAGTAACTGACCCCTCCTTGCAGTCACCCTGAAACTGGTACGTAACTTCCCAGAGAACAACCCCACCGTAATTCATAAAGACCCACAGGAGTTTGGGGTGTGCTCGTGGGAGAAGGAGCTTATACATGAGACACGCCGTAAAAATGGCTACGAATCCTTTCTATTCCGCTCTGGTGTCCATGACAAATGCTGAAGAGAGACAAGGAATTGACACGGGGCTGAACCACTTCTCACCGCCCTCCAGAAGGCGCCAGAGGCAGGCCTGGGCGGGCAGGGAGCGGCGCTGGGAGGTGAGCCAGTCCTGACTCAGGGGCCACGGACCGGCAGGGGGAGGGGTCGGCCCAGAACACAGGCTGCGGCGGGCAAGTTCATGACCTGAACAGTGAGCCTCTCCCCTCTGCTCACCTCCCTGTGGAGACACCAACCAACTCCAGAGAAAGGACCTTCGGCACTGACCGTGGAGGCCCCACGCAGCCAGCCAGCCCTTTAAACCGCGAAGCCCCGGCCCAGAGCCCAGCTCAGATCTGCGGCCGCGGGTCTGGGTGGAGAACCCAGGACCGCTGGGCATTTCAGGAAGCTTCTGACATGAGACCGAGAAATTGTAAGAGAAAAGGGGAATTCAACAGAAACAGAGCCAAGTCAGTATCAGAAGCAAGCTTTAAAAAATAGAGCTTGCAAAACACGAGAAAATTATATACTCAAAGAGATAAGAAATGCATCCATGAAAACAAATGCAGGCATTATAAGCAGAGAATAAGAAACAGCTCTTGAGATGGCATTTAGGACGCCACAGATGCAGCTCGCCACCCGCCACCCGTAGCCAGCATGCGGGTGTGTGGCTCTTCCTGCCTGGGGCTCCAGAGGAGGAAGGAAGGTGGCGCTCTCCGGGCCCAGGGTCCCGGACACGGGCTGAGGCCAGGCAGAGGGTGTGCGGGGCCTGCACACGCACTCCACGCTTCTACCGCCACAGCACGTAAAGCAACTACACCTGGGTTTCCAACAACTTTTATTTCCCCCAAATCTTCCTTAACCCTACGGAACAGGGAGCTGCCACCGAGGAGGGCGGGGGCCGGGGCTGCTTTCTTTTCTATCCCCTTCCCCCCACAAATAAACATCCAGATTTATTTTTGCCGTCCCCAAAAGTAGCTCTTGCAGATATTTTAAAAAGATAGCAGATATTAAATGCTCAACAAAAGCTGGAGGGTAAAGTTAGAGACATTTTCTAGAAAGACAAAAAAAGCAAAACAGAAAAAAGGGAAAAAAACCAAACAAAACAAAACTAAAGAACTGAGGTAGGACATGGTCCAATTCTTAACAGGAATTTCCAAAAGAGAGAAAAAGGAAGGAGGAAAATTTCCAGAGAATAATGGGAGAAAATATCCTAAAACCGAAGGACATAGTTTTCGGGTTAAAAGAACCCACTGAATAGCCAGCACAATGATTAAAAAAGACCCACAATTCTGTGCAGTTCCAGACCATGAGGAATAAAAGCCATTCTGAGAAAGGGGCCGAGAAGAGGCAGAAATCAGAACTAGAAGCGGAAAAGTCAGCCAAAGGCAGAAGGGGAGTGACTTCCCACCTGGAATCGACGCAACCAGATCCTCACTCAAGCTCAAGGCAGGAGAAACCACGTTACACCTGCTGCAAACAGATGCATCAGCTCCCAGTGCTGGACGTCAGAGGGCTGACCTGGGGCTGCGTGTGATCAAGGTCATCAGGGCTGCGATCCCGCCGCCAGAGCTTCAGGGAAGACCTGTCTCCTTCCCCTCCCAGCAGATGGGAGCTGCCTGCATTCCTTGGCTCTTGGCCCAGCCTCCATTGTCAAAGCCAACAGCATAACCTCTTCAAATCGCACTGGATCTGACCCTGCGGCCTCCCTGTGGTCACCTTGGCCCACACAGATCACTCAGGAAAATCTCCCCATCGCAAGATCCTTAACTCAGCTGCAAGGCCCTTCAGACCGGTGAGGTCATACACCCCACAGGCCCCAGGGCAAGGACGTGGACATTTTGGAGGTTATTGCGCTGCCTCAGAATCTTTATCTCCCTTTCTCAAGCAGTTATGGAGGAAATGCTCCACCACAACATGGGAACAAACAAAGCAGGTGAAGGCACGCGGTCCCAAAGGAGAGGGGCCAGGAAATTCCTTGGGAGGGGGGCCCAGGAGGACTGCGGCCGGCAGCCCGAAGCACACAGAGCCAGCGGTGCGCACAGGCCCGTCTCCAGGAAGAAAATGAAACCACAGGAGCATGTGTGTGAGTGGATGGATGTTCCCAAGGGTTTTTAGGGGAGAGCTTTGAGATAGATGCGGATAGGTACTTGGAAGACTGAACAAATTAAAAAAGGCACATATTAGCTCCATAAAAATAGGACAATTGTACGTGAAACAAATATATGTGGTACAATGGTGAAAACAACAGTACATGTCACACTGAAAAACATCTACCTCAATATAATGAGATAAGCATCCTGGGACAAGGCAAGCGTGCATACCGTAGATATATGCATGTTGGGAGGAAGGGCTACGGGGAAGAAAGAACTCGATTCTCATTTCCATGATTTGGAGTCAATGAATAGTATCTAAAACGGCAAACTCTAGAAATAGAAATACAATATGAAGATAAATACAAGAAGAAGTGGCTGAAAGATGGAGAGTGTTTGGCTATGACTTCTTCAACGTTTTTTTCTCTCCCCTTTCCTTTGAGATTCCAATCGGGCTGCTTGGGATCTCTGCCACAATCACAGTTATTATAGCATGGCCTGCCACCAGCCACAGCGCTGGGTGCTGTGCAGGTTCCAACAAAGTTATGTTTCTCGGTACTCCCTACAAGGAGCAGGGTAAGCCTCTGCTTGTTCAGGGGCCAACCCATTATTCAGCTACGGGCCGACCTACAACTTCTAAAGAATCCATGCAAAACGATTTTTCTGCTATTATCAATATCAAGATCAATGTCCTCTGCTAATTCCTTGTCTTTTAAAGCACCTCAGAGTGGAATTCAATTCACTGGCTTTAGTTCTCTGAGCAATAAGGAACCTTTCATGGCTGACAAAGCCACCTCCTGACTCTACGTTGGCCATGGGAGCCACATCCCAAGGGCACAGTCTGTTATGGTGCTTTGGTGGGAACCTTCGCTCAGGTCCGATTCCTGAACTCCTTTCTCTCTCTCCGTCTCCATCTGTCTGTCTGTCTGTCTGTCTGGCTGCCAATCTCTCCCTGGGTCGCGGCTCAGCACTCCCTCCCGCCCCAGGGTGGTGGCAGTGCCACCTGCACAGCCCGGGCAGCCAGTGTTACCTGGTGAGATCCAGAAGGCAGGCTCTTTACTAGGCCCTCTGTGGCGGAGGGGAACTTCCGTGGAGCCTGCTTAACCGGTGACACACTTTCTGAGGTGCTGCAGCTGATAAGATGGCAATTTGGAGAACAAACGTAAAAAAAAATGTTTTAAAACAAATGGAAACCAAAATACAGAAATGCAAGCGATGGCAAGACAAAGCGGCAGCAGGTGAATATGAACAGAACAACACAACGATGGTATCCAAAGAATCACATGTATAGAAACTGTCTCCCTGATGCTGTGCTTCCACATCTGTGAAGCTCCCACCGGGGAGTGGGAGCCCGCGGCCTGTTTGCAAGAGCGACATCAGCTGGATGGATCCTTGCTGTGTATGCTTGGCCCCTCGCCTTTGCCCTCTGCCATCAGCCCTCCTTTGGGATAAAGATTTAAGGGAGCAGCTATACTTCCTAAAGGCAATTCGCTTTTCGTGAGCAGCAAAGGCAAACCTCTTCTGAATGCATTTCAAAAATTACAGGCTCAGAGTCTTGGTTTGTCTCATTCCTTCCACTCCTGGTTCCCATATTTTGTTTCCCCACCAAGACAATGGCCAAACTAAAGAAGACCCAGGGCTCTGTGAACGACAGGAAGCCGTGGAATGCCCATCACACAGCTGAGCCCTTCCAGGCAGAGGATCCTTAGCAAGCGGATCTCATAAATAAATTAGGGAAAGTGAGTGCTGGGAGCTAACTCATTAGAGATTTCCTAATGGGATGGGTCACTGGCAGAACTTAAATCCTTTATGATGTGTTTTCTAAATCTTAGAGGAATTTTTGGGAGGATCCCATTTTAAGTGTTACTTTTAAGACTAAAGCATCCAATGAATTCTCTACTGTGCATCTCTGAAACAGGAGGTTTTATGACCCAAACCAAAATGGTTTGACTATTCTAACACAAAGAGTGTCCCAATCATTAATAATATTATAAAATCACATATAAAAAAACCTGAAACACGCGCACACACACACACACACACACACATGCATTTTACATGAAGAACGTGTATTTTCCGATGATCTCAAGCCTCCATGTAACCTGACAACCCCATCTCACTGGGATGGTGTGCTCAGTATGTTTCTAAAACAGACATAGGACATATCGGTGGACAAATCATAACAGCTGCTGGGTTAGCTCAGAGCTAGCTGGTTAGTTGCCACCAAGGGAGATGGGCCAAACACACACATGAGTATTAACAGCAACGGGCAATGGGATTAGTTACCATGTGTCTAGTGGGAGTAGGAGAGCCAGCCCTGTGACAGTCCCAGGGTCGGCTTTTCTGAACAAGTGGAGGATAAGCAGGCTCTATCCCGGCACACGAGGTGGAAAGGCAGGGGAGGGGAACCTAAGTGAGAAGAACAGCAGCATTCACGATGCCATGCAGGATTCTAAGGCACACGCTCCACCCCTTTATTAACCCAAGAGCAAGAACGACAGAGTCCGGCATGTCACCACTCTGGATTAGTCTCATGTTGAAAACCAACACTCCAGATATATGTCACCGAAAACCACTCACCATGCAAGAGGGTAGATACAGGTCAGCAGAACAGAGGCATTCCAAGCACGTAAAATCTGAATTTGAACACTCAAGCTCATTAAAACATAGCACTCCTCCTAAAAACTAGAACCTCAGAGCCCAGAGAGAGAGAGAGAGAGAGAGAGAGAGAGAGAGAGAGAGAGAGAGAGAGAGAAGGTTCCCAGCATCCACCAGGCAGGCAGTTGGGTGTGCAAGCCTCAGAGCACAGGCCCTCTGGGTGGCTGTGGTTAGCCCATGCACCTGTGCCAAACTCGTGTTAGCAATCGGCCTCCACTCTCTTACCACGTGAGTCCTACTTAGCTTATGTGGGTTAGCTTTCCAGCTGGCGTGGGGAGAAGAGAAGGTCCTGCAATTAGACTCACTCCCCAAGTTCAAGAGTGTTCTCTTTGAGAAGACATAAACAAAAAGATCTACGTTTCTTTACTGCCGGTATATGTTGGGTTTCAACCCTTATTATCTCCATTGCGATGAGTCCAGCCATACATTCAAGAAAGACCAAAGCCATTCACTTGCCAGCAAAACTATAAAAAAGAGAAGCCCTGTGCCATCCCATGGGGTGGGGGGGTCGTTTATTAGCACAACTCTTCTTGATTCATTTATAGCTGCCTAACTGAAAAGAAGCTCCTTATGAGATTATTGCCAAGAGATGACATTTAACTCCGAAACTGGGTAAGTGATGTCTGTGGCTTAATAATGCCACGGCAGAGTGGCTGGCACTGAAACAGAGCCCAGACTGCGGAGCCACTGGCTGCACCAAATCTGGGGAAGAAACTGGGAAACAGGGATTCGCATCAAATCCCACACTGACCAGCAGGCCACTGTTTCAGAGCACCTAAGCAAACAGTAGCTAACTCTTCACAATTCTTTTCTCCATAAAAAATGCAGACGTTTTTGTAAACCCCGGTCCCTTCCCTCTGCCCTCCCCAGAAGCAGTTTCTCACCCGGTGTACTCCGGCTTCGAGCTTCTCCTTCTGTAGAGGACAGCCAGGATCATGCTGATGAGGAGGGTGAGACCCACAACCACAGCCGTCACTATCCCCACCACCACCCACACCGGAAACATGGGCAACGCCTCTGGAGAGAAAGAAGAAAACAGTGTTAAGGTCCATTGTACAAAGAGAAGGAAAGGAATGTTATTCAACTAAGAGGCAAGTTATCATACCCTCTGTTATTATCCAGATTATGAGATCCAGTATCTAAGTAATGACAGGTAAAGAGCAGCTGATAGAAAAAGAGACGCAGAACTCAGCATTTCTGCCCACACCATCCCTCTCAATGCGCTAAGATCCAAGCAGAACTGAGCTGTGGCTTCCCCTCCATCTACACCAACAAAGCAGACGTCGTCTCAGAAGGAGACACCAGAACCTGCATTTCCTGCTGCTTCTCCAAAAGTGGAAGAAACCGAGGTATTGTTTTTACGAATGCTAACACTTTCCCTCGGAGAATACTGAAACAGTATTAACCTCCTCCTTTCCCCGGCTCAGCCCATCGACTGTCGTGAATCTGGTCTTACTTCCAATTCACGTGAGAAAGTATCCTGAAACCGGGCCAGGAGGCTTCGGACGGCAGATGGGCACATGCCAGCTGCTCACCCCACATGTGGGCAGCAGTGCCCACCCTCAGGCTCCCAGGAACAGGGCACACAGCCAATGGCTGGGTGCTCCTGGCACACACACCCCGCAATGTAACTCTCATCTGTCACTCAACACGCGACAAAGGGGACTGCGTCATTGCTGCCCGAGTGCCCAGAGGTACCTTTCTCTACCACATAGAGGCGGATGTATCCCGGGTACACGACGATGTCGGGCGGGTTTTTGACGTCACAGATGTAGGTGCCGTTATGGATAAATTGTATGTTTTCTATGTTGATCGATGCGTCTTTCTTGTCGAGGTCTCCAGCCCAGGTGATCCTGTCCTTGAATGGCGGGTAGTCCCCGATGTACACTTGCCCTTGGGAGTAGTGGAAAAACTGCAATTAGAGAAAAAGGACACGTGAGCTCTTCCCGAAGGCACGAGTTCTCAACGCTGCACGGCGTGCTGAGCGGCTCTTCACTGAGACGTCACAGGAAAGAAACACGTCCCGCTGCACATGGCACGGGATCTAAGCAGTCAGGGATCTGGAAACCAAGGGGTTCCGACCTGTTCCTGTTGAAAAACACACTTGTGTGTCTTCTCTCCTCCTCTCGACATCCGGTGCTACGGGGACAACCCCGCACAGTTTATACACAAAGGGAGACCCGGGCCATTTCCTCGGGGTCACAGCTGAGAACGGCCCGCAGAGTCACAGAGGAGTGAGGCTCAGCCTGTGACTCGCTGGCTGGAGATGGACGGTCTTCACCCCAGGCTCTCCTCCTAACCCGCCTGTGCACGGTCTCCAGCCTCCACTCCGCAGGCGAGAGGCGGGCGGCGGGCCCTGGGTAATAAGCACCCAGCCTGCCAGCACTCCTCTGGCTCGTGACTAACCTTCCTTTCAACCCCACGGCCCTGCGCTTCTGTCCTGCCACCTCCTCAGGTGACTCATCGACAGTCTTACTCCTGCTTGTTTCTGGGGTGAGGGCACAGGCTGCTATGCCTCATTTCTGAAGATCTCACAGACTGGCTGCACAGAGAGCTCCCACAGACTGTCACTGGAACAGATGGACGTGTGTGTGCGCGTGTGCATGTGTGTGTGAGTGTGCGCGCACACATGTGTATGTGTGTGTGTGTGCGTGTGTGTGTGTGTGTAGAAATACTTAAAAGAAATACAAATAAAAGTGAAGCAAATGGCAGCTGAACGGATGCAGGATGAATTGTGATTAGAGTCAACAAGGTAAATCAGGGGCTGCTCTGTGGAAAAGATACATTTCAAAACGAGAAGTGATGGTGGAGACGGGAGGGCTGGCAGGTGACTGTGACATACAAACATGAGAAAACAAGCTGCATTTAAGAGAAACTGAACTGGTTCTTTCCTGGAGAGTCGGAAGCAAGAGCGGCGCCCTGAGGTCTATACCAGACGGCAGCCTCGCTCGGTTGGGAGAGATGGGTCAGAAGAAGGGCTCACTGAACGCCCTGCAGTGGCGGGGACCCCCTGAGGCAGGACTAGCCAAGAGCAGGCAGGCGCTCCTACCGACACGGTGGTGTGGGATCCCTCCGGCTGGAAGCTCCAGGAGATGGTGGTCAGCCTGCTGGTGGTGTTCGAAGACTTGAACTTGCACGGCAGCTTCCCTTGTGTCCCGTTTGCCACGTAGATTTCTTTCGGGGTGTACACCTCCAGGGCTGACACGCCAGCAGTCACTGGAGAGAGGGAAACAGGAAGGATTAGGAGCAGGATTTCCTGGCCCTGGCTGGGGAGTTCAGTTGGTTAGAGCCAAAGTTAAGAATCAACGAGTGAGCCAAAACCGGTGTAGCTCAGTGGATAGAGCGTCGGCCTGTGGACTGAAGGGTCCTAGGTTCGATTCTGGTCAAGGGCATGTACCTTGGTTGCGGGCACATCCCCAGTGGGGGGCGTGCAGGAAGCAGCTGATTGATGTTTCTCTCTCATCGATGTTTCTAGCTCTCTATCCCTCTCCCTTCCTCTCTGTGAAAAATCAATAAAAATATATTGATTAAATAAAAAATCAATTTAAATATATTTAAAAAAAAAAAAAGAATCAACCAGTGAGTGTGTAAATAAGTAGAACAACAAATCCCTCTCTCTTTCTCTTTCTCTCTCCCATCCTCTGTGTCTTTTTCTCTAAAAGCTATAAATGACAATTAAAAGAAAAAGAGTAGGATTTAGCATGAATACCACAGTGCATATTTATCAGAGAAGATGACAAAGATACAAGAAAATTACTACACACACACACACACACACACACATATATATATCCTATACAATAAAGAGGGAATATGCAAATTGACCATCACTCCATGGCACCCAGACTGGAAGCAGGGGTTTCCATAACACAAGATGACTGCACCCACAGCAGAGGCCAAGTCCCCCTAACGAGCCTTAACGAGCAATCAGCAGGGACCTGAGGCTGTCCTCCCTTCCCTCCCACCCCTCCGCCCCAATGGGGCTTGACAGGGGACCTCAGGCCTTGCCCCCCGCCCTGGCTCCAGGCCAGGGGGCCTGAGGACACTCCTCCCACTTGGCAGGGTTTCCCAGGGTGGGACCAGCTGGGTCTGAATCTAGCCCAATTGGGGGGTGGGGGGAGAGGGGCAGCCAGGTCTGGGTCTCACATGATTTTGAGGCACATGTAGCTGGGCAGGGACTTGACTTTGAGTTTCGTGGTGCTCCCCAGACTCTGACAGAAGATTTTCATATACATTTTATTAATTTTCTTTCATCTCTGACACTTCTATTATAGAAAAAGGGCAGAGCAATATTAAAATATTTCCTCTAATTAATCCCCTTATAATGTGCATGAATTTCATGCTGTGCACCAAAGGCCACACACACACACAAACACACACACACACATAGTAATTTGCTGCCATCTATATAAATCTGGCAAAAATATTCTATAGCAAGATACTTCCTACAAACAGGATAAATTGCTGATGGTCTGGGATAATTTTATTTTTTAGTAACAAGATGTTTTTAGTACTACTATAGTTTATCCATTCACTTGCTGAAGGACATCTTGGCTGCTTCTCTGATAGCCTGATTTTATTTTGTTTTTTAAATATGTTTTTATTGATTTAAGAGAGGAAAGGAGGAGAGAGAAACATCAATGATTAGAGGGAGTCATTGATCAGCTGCCTCCTGCACACCCCCTACTGGGGATCTAGCCCACAACTCAGGCCTGTGCCCTGATTGGGACTGTGATTGCCTGGTTCACAGATCGGCAGTTGGCACTAAACCACTGAGCCATGAGGGCTGGGTTCTGATGGTCTTATTTTAAAGATGTGGAAGCCATAGTTTTACTTCTTTAATTTTTTAAAAAATCCTCATCTGTGGGTATGATTTTCATTAATTCTAGAGAGAGAGGAAAGGAGAGGGAGAGAGAAACATTGACCAGTTGTCTCCTTCACATGCTCTGACTGAAGAATTGAACCTATGGCCTTTGGTGCACAGCATGATGCTCTAACCAACTGAGCCACATCAGCCAGGGTAGCTTTTCTTCTCCAAAGTGTTCTCACACTCACGTGTTACATTGTAGTTGCTAGCACACTGAACTTTTCTCATCTTCCTTTTTTTTGTTTTTATTTGAGAGAGAAAGGAAGCGAAAGGGGAAGGGAACTAGAGAAAAAGGAAGAGAGAAACATTGCTTTGTTGTTGTATTTATTTATGTATTCATTGGTTGCTTCTTATATGTACCCTGACTGGGGATGAAACCTGCAATCTTGGCATATCAGAATGATGCTCTAATCCACATGTGTCAAACACAAGGCCCGCGGGCCAAATCCGTCCCTCCAGGCCTTGCAATGTGGCCCGCACCGCGCTGTCATCACTGCACTCCGCTGTGTTTCCATCACAATGACAGTTTATGACTGTTCAGTAAACCATTCGGCCCGCGATTTAGGCTGGATTTTAGATTTTGGCCCCTTCTCTGATTGAGTTCGACACCCCTACGTCTAATCACTGAGCTACCCGGCCAGGGCTTATCTTCTATATCCAAAGCAATTAAAGCTATTCTTGGTAAGAGGACATATCATTTAAAGCCATGCTTTTTTATTTAACCTACCACAGAAGCAGGCCTTCCCTGGTGAAGTCAGTGTGCTAGGCACCTGCACACTCAGGACGTGGTCAACCACACTGGGTCCCATCTAATTCACCCGTTCAAGTTTGCCAATGAGCCTAAGCCCAGGAAATACTGTGTTTCTCCGAAAATAAGACAACCTCTGAAAATAAGACCTGCTTACAGTTTCCTTCTGAGTGAAATATAAGGCAACCCCCCAAAAATAAGGCCCCCCTAGGCTAAACATGAGAGATTTGGTCCACTGATTCTGAAAGAAATGGAGTCACAAGAAATTCACCAGCAAATTTAGGAATTGGATTGTTATGATGATATTCCAGAAGATGATGACATGATTGTCATTGAATAAATGAGTAAACTCTTGATACTGTAGGATTCACAGTTTGTCTGGTTTGTGTTGACAACTACCGTACTACCGTACCGTATACAGGTAATACATGTCCTTTATTTTCATTTAACAATAAATGTGTACCGTATTCTTCTTCATGGAAAAATAAGACATCCCCTGAAAATAAGACCTAGTGCATCTTTGGGAGCAAAAATTAATATAAGACACTATCTTATTTTCGGGGAAACAGGTAGTACTTAAAATCCTATCACTTGGAATATAAAAATAGCTCCCCCCCGCCCCCCCGCCCAAGATCCATAATCAGAGGCAATTGTAGGAATTATGAAGAATTGCTGCTAAAATAAAATAATTTTCCTTCAGAAAGAGACACTTTCATGGGAGCAATGAAGGTTAGAAAAAAACTTATTTGGCCTAAAATTAGAAACCAGGCAAGCAAATTCAGAAAAGATTAAAAACACCCATCTTCAAAATGCGGTATTTTTCTAAGAAATCACTTGGAGAATCTGTACTGGAGTGCCCGTTACCCTCAGAATGTCACGGACCAGCAGAGTCCCTGTCCCGGGACGGAGGGGCACAGTCAGAAGTTCTCCTTCCTGCGTCTTTCCTGGGACTCCCAGCCCTCACCACCACCTCCCAAATATTTATTCTCAGGACACAATGGGCACTTTTTTGGCTATTCCAAATAAGCCGATAGCCACACTACACCAAGCAGACTTTTTCTGCTGCAGAGGGTGGGTTATTATCATAGGGAACAATGGATTATTATTTGTGGTCCAAGCCTCAAAACAAGCCTCCTTTCACACAAGAAGCAAACAAAAGGCGTCTCCCGCCATTGTGGGCAGCAGCATGGCAGCCCTGGCCCCGGAGCTCGCCACACAGGGCAGAGCCCGGGCTGGCCGCTCTGACCCCCGCTTCCAGGAAGTGGCGTGGCCTGGCAACCCTGATCTACCCTGTGATTCCGACCAGGGTTCTCCGCAGGGAGGAGCCCTGCAAGGAAAGCCTGTCTTTAAAGCCAATAAATAAGGTTTCTCAAGGATTTTCCCAAACCAGACCTGCCCCGAGGCCTGGCTGCAAGGCGGTCACCCTGAATGTGATTGACAGATGGACTTAGGCCAAGCGTCCAAGTTCCCAGCGAGGAATTTTAACCAAAAATTAGCCAAAGCCCCGAATGGCTTTTGGACAATCGGGTTAGGGCAGATTTATTTAGGCTGCCGTCTTGGTCCAGGCCTAGTTATCTCAGCGGCTTCCTACTGCTGGCTTTTCCTGCCTTCCCGCTCACCTGCCGCCAATGCAGGGAGAGGCGGAGGGATCTGGTCCAAATGCCTGTCAGCTCTCATCAGTCCTTTGCTCAGAACCCTCCAGGGTCCGTCACATCAGCCAGGATCAGGCCACAGTCCTCACAGGCCTGGCCACCTCACAGACCTCCGAGTCCCCACTTCCACGCTGATCACCTGGCTCCTCTGCTTGTGACGAGCACCCCGTCTAGAGATTGGAGGTGTCCTAGGCAACTGTGATGCGTGAGAAAGGAGGGGAGAGGGATCCCCTGTTGAAACGCTGAGTGTCTGTCTGCACAGCTGACCCCAGCGAGCAGGTCCAGCGGACGGAGGCCTTTGCCTAACGCTGCCCGCGGTCACCACGCACAGGGCAGACCCCAAAGCGTGTTTACCAAGCACAGCGCTGCGGTTTCTGCCAACCCCGAGGGGCCTGACCCAGACAGTTGGGAGGTTTCTCCCGCCTGGGTGATGCAAGGAACCAAACACAGGCTTCCTCTGGGACCACATCCCCCGCAGCCTGGAAGGAGGAGCTGGCCGGCCGGCTAACAAGGGGAACGGTGTGCTTTGTCCGGACTTTCTCTGCGGGACTCGGGAGTAGACATACACACAGAGCTCACTGTGCAACTCACAGGGCTCCTCAGAGCTCTAAGAGTTTTCAGGGGCTGGCTAAGACAGAGATGTAAAGAAGGCTGAGATGCAGAGAAACTATTGTTCTAATCTACATCCTCCAGGCACTGCCACTGGAACTGGCCTGAATAGGAGCGTAAATAGGTTTCTTATAGGCTGAAGAATTAATAATCAGGGGAGAGTGGCAACAATCGCTGCAAAAAATACGAAAGCTTCAGTTTAACAACCCACAGATGGCAGGGAAAGTGTTGAATCCCGGAAGAACCAATTGCCTCAGGAATAAAAACACAGAAATGAAATGAAATGAGAAGATGAAGTGATATGCCAACGTTTCCCTATCCTGACAACTCTGGATTCCAG